CCTGCTCAGCATGGAACTTCTATGAATCTCTTTCTTCAGAGATCCAGCCTCTGCATATCTTGCATAAGGAATCTCAGTGTTCAACAGGTGCTGGGTCTGAACACTATTTATTATAGTGTTTTTTGTTGCAATGCCCAAGTCTCTTAAAGAATACTGTTGTGCATTTTTTTTCTGCAGTGCTTATTAATATCTCAGTGAGACTTTGGGCCTGATTCAATTGTGAAATTAAAGTAATGCCCAAAAAAGAATAATCATTTTACAATTAGGAAAAATATCTAACCATAAATCCAAGAAATGCACATGGAAGCTGTTTTTCACATTAATTTCTTCCCCCTAATGGTTGGAACATGAAGAGTAAGCACATGTGTTTTTACCTTCTCTTCTTATTGCAAGTCCTGTTAAGCAAAAGGGTTTCACCTTCCTGAAACTGGTTCTCATTATAGAGCTCCCTTCAGGAGATTCCTTCACCCACTTCCATCAAAGTGGAACCAGTAGCAATTTGAATTAATAACTGCATGCTTCAACTCTGAGGCTAAGATAATAAAAATTTGGCAAAGTGCATTGGAATCTGGCTAGTTAATTGGAAAGTTGGTTTTGGTGAGATAATGAGCTGGAGATGTTGAAGGGAAGACTAAAAGAAAAAAAAAAGGAAACATTAACACTTCATTTGCACTTAGTTTAATGAAAACGGGGTGAGTTTTGCTTCTTTTCAGGTCTTAGGACTGGTTCATCCACAGCTGCTTCATTGCCCATCTATAGACACATCCAATTATTGATACATTTAACTTTAATTCCTCATTGTCTTTTCCAGGAAAAAAAGAAGGCTCAACATTTTTCACTTATGAGGGATCACTTTTTTGAAGTGCCAGGTATTCACAACATCTACAGAAGGCAGCAGTGGTCGTAAGACATCAATRCTTCAAAAGAACCATCCATTTAGAGTAGTGCAACTTTTTATGTCCCTGTGTTGTTCTCCCTTGGCCCTTGCCTCCCCCCAACATGTAGCTTTCCCCAGGGCTGAATTCACTGCCTGAGGACTTAGGCTCCWTTTTTTTATACAGGAGTCTTGACGCTCTGTGCTGGTAATTGCACAGGAGGAGATACAAGACAGTTTGCAAACAAAAATTATAATGCAAAGCAGGTATGAACAAGGTATTGATGTAATCCTGTCACTGTCTTAACACAACTTGTCTGACAAACAACAGTGATATGAGCAGGAGTTATAGCAGTAATACACAAATAGCTATGAGTATTGGCTTTGGGGTTTTGCATTTTAGAGGCAGAGAACCAGAAGAGGCATCTCCTTTGAATGCATTTTGGTTTTGATGGTAAATTAATAGCAACCTATCATTACATATTCTGTTCCTCAAGAGAGAAATGAAGCYGGAACCAGACACCTTTCAAGATACAGCAAATCTCCATCTAAATAACCATCAAATAGCAACAATTTTTTTTTTTTACAGAAAATATTTGGGATTAACTGCAAGAATCTTAATGTTTTCTTTAAAGTCATATAAGATGGCAGCTGAACCTGGATTATCATATGATCTGCTGCTGTTGCCCCCTCATTGTCAGGAACAGAAGAATGAGAAAAGTCAGTGAAAACAGGAGGTATGTCGCAGGGTGGCTACGGCTAGATTCGATACAAACAGGTCATGTGTTTTTTCCACAATTCACCTGTGTAGAACAKATCATCTGTCTGCTGCTTGTCACTGTGTTTTGGTATGCGGAAAGGCAATGGCAGGTCATGCAGAACCACGCAGTGATGTGTGCTGGAGCTGGGACATGGCAGGTCCATCTCTCCTTAATGCTGGAATAACAGCGCAACCATCAGATCATTAACCTCAAATTACCCTTCACTCTTCGCATCTTCACAGAGAAACATTAAAATGTAGAAAAAACAACCTCCGAATTCAGAATGCTCTGCAAGCCTGGTCTGGTCTGGTGATCAGMCTGCGTTGACTACCTGTGGATTGCTCTTCCTCTGCTTTCTCTGCTGGCAAGGAGAAGATAAATCTCTTTTGTCTTAGGCTCCCTCCTTACTATGTTGGTGGAGCTTTACRGTGGTGGAGCCTTCAGCTTCTCACCATTTATCTCTCACCAGCTTCTCAACCATTTATTTCTGCCTTTWAATTCTTTGCTTCTAAGGTAATGACTCTTAGCATTTGCCTCTGGCCTCTCTTTCACAATCCAGAGAATTAAAAGGAAGATTTATCTCTGTCGGCCAAAAGTGTTTTTGCATGAAAGAGTAAAAGAAAATCTGATTACCCCATTGCAGAGCAGTGTCTTCCAGTGTCAGGCAAAATTAAAAAACAAATGCAAGACTACTCCTTCTTATAGACCACTGTTTTGGACAAAAGGAAAACAAACGGGAGGAAAATTAACATTTACTAACAAAGAGTCATAATATGTCTTTTTATTTRTTTTGTTTTATATGCCTGTTTCTTAATAGCAGTTCTTACCACTGATTTTTCCTAAGTATATATCATAATATAAAATCTGCTCCATCTTCCTTTGTGTGTGTGTGCKTGTGCGTGTGTGTGTGACCTTATAGGATCTCTTCTCCTTCTTCTAGGGGAGCTTTTATAATAGATAATGATATTTTGAACTCATTGCTGACAGATTGGCTTAAGGAAAACACATGCCAGGTAAAGTTTAAAAGATTATCCTCATAGGAAAGTAAGGGAAAGTATCAATCTACAACATACCAGTAGAATTAAACCAGCTGTTGTTTGCCTCACTTGATTTGGGGAAACCAAATAAACCCCAGGGAAGCAGGGAAAGAGAGACTGAGTTTGCCTATTGCCATTGGGAAGCCATTGCCAGACATGTCACCAAGGTGCAAAGTTCCACTGCTCTTTGGTGGAGAGGATCAGGCACAGAAGGGGCTTTTGTAAATGTGGATTTACAGAAACCTACATTAAGAATGACTGGAAAGATGATCTTGGAATTTGTTACATGCCCTAATGTGTTTCAAGTAACTCAGGAAATGCCCTTGCTAATTGTCCTGGACAGGAATGACAGTCTAGACGCAGCGTGTCTGCAAAGCTCACCAAGAAGCTGGATGTGTTAACACCCCAGTGCTTTAGTCCACATGGAAACCTTGTGATCTCAATCAGAACGGCTCTGCTATCAGCACATGAGCTGCAAGGCTAACTCACACATATTTGCAGAAGATGGAATCACTTCAGACATTTTAAACTTAGTAACTGAAGCTTCCTAGAACAGATGTCTGCTTTTTCGGGAAAAAAAAAATGTCCATTTGAGTACCAAAATTAAACCCTGCAACCTACCTGAAGCATAGAGACTGCTACAATACAAATGCCACTGTCTTTACTGAGTGAATAATGTGTAATGAATCTTTCATTCCACACATTTAGCTTTTGCTTCATGAATCGCTCAAAGGCAGTTCCCATTAGTCATAATCACTTGCTGAGTAATTTCCACAAATTGGTTTTGCCCTATAGCTTCATTGCCAACAGTTCTTTGTTATTAATCATTATTGTAAATCGATGCCTTCATTGGGCAGTTCGATTAACTTGCAGGCAACACTGTGTTGCTTTTTTCCCCGATGGAATGAACACAACTCATAAAACTGGACTGCCAGGAAAAATAGCTGGCCTTGGAAATGATTTTTATATATATATATGTATCCAAGCAGTAAGTTCATTCACGATAACTGAGCCACGGGAAGGAATCATTGGTTCCTGCCTGCCATCATCTTAGCCTKCAAAGCCACAGAGGTGGCTTAGCCTCAGCTGCTGCCTCGTACCCTGTGGGCCAGCTCCTCTGCTTGAGCTCCACGTCGCAGCACAACCATCACTCCAAACTCTTTGAGAGCTCTTAGTCTGCAAGCACTGCTGCATGTGCAAAGGTTGCTGAGGAAGGAGTCAACAGCCCTGCCTGAGGCTGCAAGAAGGGAGGCTGCTGGGGAACCCAAGGCATCCTGTCTTCCGAGGCAGCAGATGCCAGATCCTGCTTCTAACCAAGTGGCAACAGCAGCAGCAGGCAGGAGYGGTGCC